AGCAATGCTTCTCCATAGCAACTTGAGTTGACACTGTTTCCTCCAAGGACCGCTGGAGCTGAAAGGCCACCACCTTCTCAACAACCTTCCCCACAAAGGGGAGGTTGGAGACTGGACGATAGTTGTTTAAAATGGCTGGATCCAAGGATGGTTTCTTCAGGAGGGGTCTCACCACCACCACCTTTAAAGCGGGGGGAAAGACCCCCTCCCAAAGGGAGGCGGTAACAACCACCTGGATCCAGCCTCATGTCACCTCTCTGCTGTTTACAACCAGCCAGGAGGGGCACGGGTCCAGCACACATGTGGAGGCGCCAACAGCTCTACCTGTTTGATAATGAACCAGGGAGCAAAATAGCATGGTCAGTGAAGTAGGAACAAAAAAAATATGAATCATGTCAGTTGCTTTTTTTGACCAAATTGAGCATCATTTGAATAATATTTGTAAATTCATTTATCTGCCCATTTATTAGTTGATGGGAAAGAAATAACGTATTGCCAATTGTTTGGCATCAGGTGAGAAACAAGGAGAGAGAGTTCCAATCTAGGCATGATGCTAGCTAGATGACCTTGGGCCAGTCAGTCTCTTTCAGTTTTATCAATGAGACAATGAATGACAAACCACTTCTGAATCACCTTGTAAATAAATCTACAGAGACTAGTGCAAACAGTCCCCAGGAGTCAAAAACTACTTGAAAGACACACATGCACAAAGTGATTTAGCTATTTCCAGTGGGTGAGCCGGAACACAGAAAAACTAGTTTCTGTTGTCAAGGAAGAATTGCCAAGATAAATGACAAGTGCTCTGGAGTCTCTTACAGCCAACAAAACTACATTTTACAACCTCATTAAACAAATTGATTAAAAGGGGGAAAGGAGACTAGGTTGCAGAATTCTTGGCAGCTGGATACTATACATTTATCTTAACCATTTATTTCTACGTTCTTTAGAAGCAGGGTGCCTTGATTCTTTTGCTAAACCCCTGTTGATGCAATGGTGAGTGGTGTGTCTCCTTTCAGGTTTCATATAGTTTGGCAGGTGATAATAGCAGTTTACTCAAAGCTAAGTAGATAAATGACAGACAAGCAGAAGAGCACAAAGTCAGAATCTCTTGAGATAAAGCTTACCCAAATAGTTTCACCTTCCACAGGAATATGCAGAAGAGTAGTTAAAATACAATCCAAAATTGAAAGAATCAAACCACATTAATCAACCTTTTGAAAGGTCAGAGTTTAAAGATTTATTGTGCAAACAGAATATACAGGAACAATACACCAAACGAAAGCAATCCGTTGTCTGTTTCCAACAGAGAAATATGGCCCAGGACTGCCTCTTAAATGATGCTGCAACCAGTTAACTTCAGTTTAGGTGGTCAGTTCCTTGCTTGGCAAAGTGCCACATTAAGTACCTTTGCTCTACTCTCCTGCTCTACTCATGGAGCCTAAAGACTTGAAGACTGTACACCGCCTTCTGACTTCTCCAGCTGTTCTGATGGTTCTTATATTTGATCAGCCTCAGGGTATTCCTCTGTTGGTGTCTTCTGAGGCTGACATTTCTCTGGTTCAGCTGGAGCAGCTTCATCAGAATCCTGGTCCTTGGCAGGTCGTAACTACTCATTTCCCTTAAAAAGGAGGAATGTGCAGAAGTTCTGAACCTGTAATATTGTACAAAGTGCCATTCTCTTTTCCAGTCCATTCCGGTAGAATTTTTAAATATGGGGAACGAAAAAGATGAACTATGATAAGAGACATGCTCAAAAAAAAGTCACTGAAAATGATTGAAATTGATAAGGAATTCTTTGTCTCACTTTTCTCTATTTTCTCTCTTCTGTGGAAAAAAGAAAATGGAGGAGACCCCATTCTTCCACTGACTGATATAGATTTATGTCCCATTCTCACTCAGAAAGTTTGATCAATTTTAGGTACATTTTACCATGGATCAGAATAGCAGGTCCCAAGAGCATCCATATGTGGAGCTACTCAAAATTTTGAGGTGGTGGCCATAGCTGCAAAATTATAACTGTTCTTTTTTATGTGTATCACATGATGCATGTAAAAAAATGTCAGTATTTAATTTCACAGTCAAGGTTGCCATCTTGAGTTTTTTTATGACCCCTCCCTGTGAATAACCATGGTTGGTCCTCTGTAAATGCTGTAGCAGTGAGCTAATTTGCAAGTTCAAGGGGCCATTAATAGTACTGGAGACAAATTCCTTGTGTGTCCAATCACACTTGGCCGATAAAGAGTTCTATATTCTATCAGTATCCCTATCCCTACTCTACTCCTTCAAGTGATTCTCTATAGCTGTGATGGCGAACTTATGGCACGCATGGCAAAGGTGGCACATGGAGCCCTCTCTGTGAGCAGCACCCAATCGCCAGTTGCTTTTCTGGTTTCTAGCACACCAGCTGATCTTCGCATGTGCCAGAGCCCCAGAAACCCAAGACCAGCTGGCTGGCGTGCACCCAAAGACCAGGTGGGCGGCGCGCACATGCATACTGGCCAATTGGTCTTCAGGTTTCCAGGGCTGTGGCACACACACTGGTTTGGCCACTCAGTGCCAAAAGGGTTCGCCATCACTGCTCTGTAGTATATCATGTAGAGAAATAGTTAGATCTATGAATCTTACTCAGATTTAAGCTCTCAATTCTTTCTCTGTGTTATTCCAATTATTAGCCCTTTCCCTGTGTTAGCCCATTATTCTCAATGCAAAACATACGTAAGTAGTATAGATGCATAATATTTCTGGTACCTGCAGAGTGTTCACATAAAAGCTATCATGGGTGTGTCAGCAAATGTCAGATGTGACCTAGCTTGGGAGGGGGCGGGGATAGAGTTATGTTTCTTCCTCTTCCCATAAGAGTTCATGAGTTTTCTTCATTGCCAAACTGGCTCTGCTGAACACTGACAAATAAAGAGCAGCACTGGCCATTTGTCAAATTGTGAGCAGATAAAGATGTGTGAGTAATGTCTTCATTCTGCTGCTAGCTAAACTTTATTTTTCTGCTGTCACTATTTGGTAAGATTACTTGACTGTCTGGACAAAAATGTTTCAGAACTTTACACTGGATAATGAAGGGTAAGTAATGCTGAATTCATTTGATGAAGTGGTTTAGGATCCAAAGTATAGCCTGACTTATCCCTGCCGGAAAATGCTCTTTTTTGCTCTGTTCTTGTACTACACCTTCTTACACATTTTTCTATTCTTGCACAATGTTCATGTACTATTTCTGCTATTACAGATATTTACCTATGATTTTTTCCTTATCTTTTACATTGGTGTGTGCATTAACAAAATAGTACAGAATTTCAGACAACTTATATTTATAAAGATCTGTTTTTTTTCTGACAGGAAAGATTCACATACCATCAGATAATGTGAGTCCTTCAAAACATGTTATAAAAGGACAAGAATATAAGGAGGGAGACAATTGTGCAAAATTGTTTCTTTTCATTGTGTTTCATTGTTCAGTTTGTTCAATATTGTTCTGCCGCTTTGGTGATATGAGAAAATCTAGAATTGATTGAGGGTTCCAAGATGTGATCGAGAACTCTCTATATTGGGGGTAGTTTTATTTATTTCAAAAACCTGATGATTTAAAAAATATTACTGGTTTATTCCTACCTGGGTAATATAGGAAATACCCTTGTGTAATGGATTCAGTATCTGGTAATATCCAATTAGTATCTTGCCCCACAAAGAATGTGCATTGGTGCAGACATGGCTCCATGATTAGGAAAAAAATGTTATCTGGCTCTTTTTCTCCCTCTGCTTTTAACTGTCTTGACCGAGGACAACATTTTTGAAAATTCTAAAAAAAAAAATGTAACATTTTAGTTGGCTTCATAAATGGATTTTTGATTTTTGTTTTATCATGACCCATAGACCAGTATTTTTTTGCAATACCTTGTTCATAGTTATTCTTCATCCATAAGTTAAGGATTTCCCCATTCTTGTTGGTATATGGTTTATGTACCTACACTCTGAATAACATTCTCTCACCTCACTCTATCCTTATTCAAATGCACACAGCAGTCTTTACATGAATTCTGCATGTCTTACCTCATATTTTCTTTTTCTTTTTTTAAAAGGAAAGATCTCGATCTCTCTCTCTCTCATTGGAACATAAGGGAGCTAATTAGTTCATCTGAGAATATCTTTTGGGAAAATAATTACTTCACTGATTCTCATTTTTTTAAAAAATCACTATAAGCCATAATGGGAAATAATTGGGCCAAACTAAAATAATCAGTCTCCCAGCGATTCTGATTTAATCAGCAGCTCACTTCACATATTGAGTGAAGCTATAATATGTCTTATTTGGGATTAGAATATATTGTAATGTGAATCTTACTGTTTATTTATTTAGGGAATTTATTTGGGGAAATTATATTGCCGTCTATTTGCATATGGCGATTTAAGGCGGCTTACAGAATATAAGCTGCCTGTTTGTTTTGTTAGCCATTGTTTATAGCTTAGTGATATCTAATGTTGGACCCAGCACATTTGGGTTTATTTAGCAAATCATGACTGAAAAATGAAATATGCCTTATAAAAATGAAAGTGAATGCTAGCACCTCCAACTTTCAGTTATATATTTTGAGAAATTCAGAAATGCCCATTAACATGCTGCCGGCAACTGTGTTTGCCTAGTGATGCTGTGCTTCATGCAAGATACACGTTGGCATGAATTTGTCCTCTGGAGGCTTTACCTCCCTTTTCAGGATTGCCTAAGAAATACAGTTAATGTATAAACTCATCTCATGAGCCCTTTACCTTTTTTAAAAATGTTATTTCATTTCTTTCACTTTTCTTAAATTGCACTTCAGAAATCTGCATGTGCATGCATTCGCATCCCAAATAAATGCATTAGTTATTTATTGCAGGAGGGGTGTGCAGAAGTGCACCAGCATGCCTAATGTCCCTGTCCTAATGTCACCATTTATTTGTACCCATTTCCTGTGTTCTTATGTTTATTCTTATTTCTGTTATCTTGTACATGAGTGACAAACTAAATAAATCAAATCAAATATAAAATGTACTGCCTTTTGTTATGAGCATCACAGCTCATACATGAGGCTTCCTACATTTCATTCTCACAGCTATTTGTGAGATGAGGTGAGGCTGAGAAAGGGACAGATTAGTCCCCTGGCTTCCAATGAGTCACAAGTGGAAAATCTTGAAGCGGAAACCCCCACGTCCTTCAACCAATTCCTGGTTTGGTGATTCTTTTCAACAGAAAGCTAATTCAGAAAGGCCACACCAGGAATCAGCAAGAAAAATGCTTGAACCAAGACGCTAGAATTCTAAGAAGCTTAGGAAAAAGTTATTTTTTTCCTCTTTCCCTGCTCTTTTGTCACCTAAAAGCCAATGCCAAAGTCAGAACACTCGATAAAGAGCTAGCATACCAAAACAATGATTAAAGAGAGGGAACAAGTAATATGGTTAAGAGCTGTTTCAAAAACCCCTCTGTTTATAAATGTATCTATATAGATATCTACTGGCTTGTTTAACTATATAGTATAATGTATACTATATAGTATAATTATAATATAGTGTATAGTATAATTAAGCATTAATTATTTCCATGAAAAACACTGTAACTATAATCATAATTTTAGTTTGTAGAAGTAGTTTAGTTCATAGAAATAGTTGCAAGTATGTGTCTGTTTACATGCCTATCCTTTCCCCATTGTTCCACCCATTATATCTATCATGGAAATCAGCCCCAATTCTGCCATTAGAAATTACACAAGTCCAACCATTGGAGACCTGCCCCACCTAGCTAGTAAAAACAGTCAAGGAAGAAACTGGAGTTGACCAGAGGTGGTATTCAGCAGGTTCTGACCAGTTCTGGAGAAGCAGTAGCGGAAATTTTGAGTAGTTTGGAAAACCGGTAAATCCCACCTCTGACTGGCCCTGCCCCCATCTATTCTCTGCCTCTCCAGTTCCAGCTGATCGGGAGGAGATGAAGATTTTGCAATATCCTTTCCCTGGAGTGGGGAGGGAATGGAGATTTTACAGTATCCTTCCCCTGCCATGCCCACCAAGCCACACCCACAGAACCAGTAGTAAAATTTTTGGAATATTACCGCTGGAGTTGACTCCAGGATATAGCCAGTCTTGGTTTCAGTGCCTTTGATATTCCAAAGTTCCTGGCAGCAGTTCTTGAGAAACTTAGTGAGGGTCTTTCTCAGCCCTGTTCAGAGATTCTAGGCACGCTCTGTCTCTGAATTTCAGAGTTACCATAAGTAATCAAATGATGACCATTTGCATAAAGGCGATTTGCCCCACCTGTATGACTCAATGTAATTTTAGTCTAATTTACCAACAGAATTACCTTAGAATTATGGATATTGATTTGCATACTAAGTTTAGAAATTAAAAGGCTGTGTTTAGGAATATAAGGAAATACGTTCGCTGCAGATGTAGACATTATTATTCTACCAAGTATGTTCCCTAAATATGTTTTCTTCATTTGTTTTCCTCCTCAAATGTTTTTACTCCTTCTATTAAAATTCCCAGTGTCACTCCAAATTTAGAGATTAGTCCCCTGTGATAAGGAGATTCCCAAATTGAGGGTTGTCAGAATCTCTCCAGAATCTTTGACTATTGCTCTTCATTTTGGGGTCATGGGTTTCTCATCTTAAAAACATTTCTCAGTTAAGGTTTTGAAAAAAAATAGAAGTGAAAGAATCTTCCCTTTTTTGGGCTAAACAGCAAAGGCACATATGCCTGCCATCAAACCCAGGGCTCTCCCCTATTGGGAGATATAATGTACGTTTCAGTAGACCACATTAATTGTTATAACAGATGGGATTGCTATTTGGGCCTTGAAGATCAGGCAAATATTTCAGCAAGAGCTGGACTGAAATGCCCTTGCCATCAGATTTCTAGAGAAGGAGAAATTTTTTACAACATTTTCAGTTTACAATAATGGCACAATAATTTTTTT